TTTTTTTTTTTTTTTTTAATTTGCGTGTGCATGTTAAAAAAAAAACAGCAGTTTATAAAATTAACGTGAGCCTTCTTTTCACACTGCATACTATGGATGCCTAATCTGTCTGGATGAAACTGGGCAAGCTTTTTTAGCGTGTCTTTTTTTTTTTTGTCTTAGTATTAAGGAGGATTTGTAATTGTTCTTCCCGTGTTTAAAGTACACGCTTCATTCGTCTGAATGGACTATGATTTTCTAGCGAGTGCTGAATCAATTTCGAATACCGATTAAATGGGCGCAGACTCTAGAAAGACACAAAGAGTGTTGAAAATATGACTAGTCTTCTAGGCCTGGAAAAAGTGTGATTGTGATTGTTCTAGTTGTTAAGTAATTTTTTTTGTTTGTTTGGGGCATTTGTTTTCAATCTGTTTTACTCCGTGTGTTTACTGTTCAAGAGTACCAACTAATTTTGGGAAGGGGTAACGAAAGGGTTTCGAATTTTGCATGGAAAACTCTGGACGACCCTTGTTCCAAATAAACCCTTGGTTGCAAGTTCAGCTGTAATAAATAAGAAGTTGTTGCCTTTTTAGGTGACAGCCGTTCAAAAGCGACTGAAGATGGCGCTTGATCGTCAGAAAGAGGCAGCGGATAAGCGATCTACACAGCAACAACAGCAACAAAAACAAGCGGAGGGACTGTTGCCGAGAATGAAGGTAATAATGGGGGGCGGGGCTTTCTATTGAGCCAAAAATTCCGACAATTTCGAGGCGGGAACAAATGGCACGGAAATTTCTGGAAATGTTTCCTGAAAATCTGAAAACTGTTGAATTTCCGAAAAGCGAACCATTCAAACGAAAATTTCGGAAATTTCCCCGTAAAAAATTCTCGAAAATTTCGATATACCTTCCTCGCAATGTTGTCCTCTTTTCCGGAAATACCGAAAAAATGCTGTTGCATTCGTCACCGCAAATTTCCGAAAATTCAAACCAGAATTTTCATCCAATGGAAAGCACCCAGTGTATCGTGAAATCTCTGGGAAGAGGGGATTATTTCCTTGGGTGGCTTAGCTCATTCTTCGCGGGAGGGAAGGGGGTCTCCTCTTATAAACTGGGACTGGAGAGCGGGAAGGGGGGTTAAAATGCTATTGCGACGAAGAATACACCTGTGTCAACTTGAACATTTGTTTCTATTTCGTTGCAGTCCTGGCTGAGCCACGAGGTCGAGGTTCTAGTGAGTGTTGGTCAGGCCAGGCAGACACTAGAAAATCTCATTGATGACAGGAAGGTGTTGTCAAGGCAACTGGCGGAGTTACGAAGCGAAGAACAGGATGAAGATGATGAACCTGCAGCGAAGGTACTTTCTGTCTGTCCGTATCTCTGTTTGTCTGTCCGTATCTCTGTTTGTCTGTCTATCTCTCTTTCTGCCTGTCTTTCAGTTGGGTTCGGTACTCTTTGTTTCCATTTTTTCAAACACTGCGTGACAGATTCTTTTAAAAAAAAATTGTCCTCTTGAGACCACTATAGCTTCTGTTTTTCGAACGTCTTGTCTTTTCATGAACTGCTTTGAAGCGATTTTCGTGGCTTCTTATACACAGTGATTACATGGAACAGGCTATATTTACCAACTGAGGTTGGTAACTGAATCCTTTCTCTTCAAATTGACTTTTTGCAGAAAATGGTTCAGGAGGGTGGAACACCAGGAGACAAAAAAAGCAAGTCCCATGACCTTCAAAAGAAAAGAACTGCTCTTGAACATGAACTGGAACTCAGGTCTGGTCTATCAGCTCTTTATGTTGCAATAATTTAAACAACAACTCCAACGTTTTACTTGTTTTTAGAGACTTACTCATGCCTTATTCACTTATGACAAGCAATTAGCAAATCACAGGGTAAACGAAAATTAAAAGGTATCATTTTAAAGCATTTAGGCTGTTTGCCATGTACACTCCGGCCGCAATCGTTTACTCCATGGGTGGAAAAATTTGAAAAGAAATCTCATAGTGTTTTTCATTCAACAGAGCTAACGCAAAGCACCTGAGATAGAGTCTCGTATTCACGCGCAGTGAAGGCAAGAAATGAATGAGAAACTGCTAACCGTTAAAATATACTTTATCCTGTAGGAGTGCCCAGATTGCTGGACTTCAGCACAAAATTCTTGATGCAGAGCAAGGTAAACATTATCATATCCTGTTTGCGTTTTATTGTGTGCGCACTGTGACAGAACGGTGAGTAAATCCATATGCACTACAACTCGCAACTTACTTGTTGTGAGTTGTCAAAGAGTAATATGACATTTTTTGTCTCAGGTGAAAAGTCCAAACATCGGTGGAATAACATTCATAGCATGGCGGAGGCTAAAGCAGGACTTCAAGCTTTACTAAACATGGTGAATATTTCAGTTTATAGCTCACTTTGTGTTTTTGCTTTCGACAGAATGTTGGTCGGGTGACAACTTCAAGTTGTACAACAATTTTTTTTTTTTGCGCGACTTGTTTTGAAAGATTTCTTTTCCCGCCATATTCGCTGCTCCATCCTTAAGTCTCTTTACATGCTTCTTCCGTGACGTCGTTCTTTCAACTCGACAGTGAACTGAGTGAAGGGCACAATAACATAACGATCGAATGAAGCAAACCATATCTTTCTCGTTTGCAGACAGTAGCAGCGAAACTAATAAATGCTACCGCTGACAAGTCTAGAGTTGAACTGGAACAACAGTGTCAAGAGTTCACGTCACGAGAGCAGGTAAGGGTATCTATTTGCATGCATTGAGGAAATTAGTATTTGCCTTGTGACTGCAGAGTTGGTTGTGTGAAGACTTGATTCACTTTTTTACGTTTTAGTCCAATATTCAAGAGCACCAAGCAGAAATTGCAAAACTTAAACAGTCCCATGAAGACTCCATGATGCGTCTTAAGGAAGAACACGAAGAGAAGGCAAGCTCCCATTAACTAAATCTCTTTCTGTTCTGAAATACTAGTAAATGTTTGCTGATGTTGCAATGTCCACAGTCAATTTGCCTTAATTTACCATTGCATTTTAGTTGCGGTTTATCAACTGACTTTTATCCTGTGTCAATCATGACTGGCCTTTTAGCTGGTGTCAATTATGACGTGAAAAACTTTGACGTTCCCTTCTTTTCCTTCGTTCCTTCTTCTTTTCCAGGTTCAGTGCCTTCTTCAGCAAATAGCTTCTAATGAGAATTCCCAAGAGGAAACCAAAGAACAGCTGCAGGTGACTCTTGTATGTTTGTATCAGTTGATCGTTCAGCATAGGGCTTGTGAAACTGACTGTTTTACTTTTTGTCTTGTGAACAGGAACAACTCGAAGCGCTCAGAAAAGAGAACAGCAAATTGAACGAGGTAGGAGTCGGTTAAAATTCGCGTGTCTAAAACAGGAAGCCTTAAATAAAGCCATTCAATTCTGTTGTGTTTCTGTAGTCTGGATGTCTTTAGGTCTCTCGAAACCATACAAAAACTAGACCGCACTGACTGTTAAAGTAATATATATTTTTTTAAATTTATAGGTGTGCCTTTTATCTCTTTTCAGCAATTAAAACAATTGAAGGATGTCTTTGAAACGGATTCGCCATTACCAGAGTCAAAGAAAAAGGTAAGAGCAAATCTTGGTCAGAGTTCTCTGTTCGCAAACTTTTCACTTCTGTTTGTTCTTATCTGAGTCGCCCTAGAGATGGTGTAAGCTACCTGCTACTGGATGCTGGATTGTCGAGCGAGAAGTGAAAAATTCGATTGGAAATAGTGACTTGCCACGTGACAACTCATCTTGCCTCACCCTAGTTTTCTCGCGACTATTTTATCTCCCGCGTACGCCGCATCTCACTTGAGATGGAGAATTAGGTTTACTCGCAGTCTAAACATACCCTTTTGTGCACAGTTAACTGGAAGTTGCTCAGTGTGACAGATGACACTCAGAGTAATTCTTTCCCATATTTTCAGACTGAGCAGTGCCCCCTTTCGGTCAAATCATCCAGTGAATTTTTACCGCGGCCTGCACTTTTGGTGACTGTCCTATTTCTCAACAGAATTCGTTGAAGACGTCTCGAACAGTTGAAGTAGAAGATGATGACTGGGCAATGGGTTTGAGTGATGAAAGCGAGGCTGAGGACTCGACTGAGCGAGATCCAGACTGGGTGGAGACCCCAGTCTCCCCGGACACTCCCATGGTCCCTCGTCAGCGGAAGTTTGGACGGAGAACTAGATCCACCGAGGCGTCTTCTTTGTCGATTATCAAAAATCCCGGACGTGTTCAGGTACGTGAAAAAAGATTTGCTTTCAAATATTGATGAAGAAAAGCTTCAGAGATTCATGGTAATTGCTTCAGAATACACCGCAAGCTGAGCATTGTTTAGTGCCGTTCAGTCATGAGCATGCCGAATCTAAAAAAGCTTAGCATTCATGTTTGAGTCCTAACTGCTGATTCAAGACTGAAAACAAACAATACTCTGCATGGAAAAGAGTATTGAAGGGATTCTTCCTCCTTCTTTTGCATGGGTTTAAAAGGAGTTTTGAGCGCGGAATCTGAGCAGGGCATTCGCTCGATTTCCAGTTTACTTAAAATTTGTCGGAGTACAGGGAAAGCACGGAAAAGACGTTTAGGCGAGGAAAGGAAGAAACTGAAACCAAGTAAAGTAATTCTAGTTTCTTTCCACATCGCCTGGCGCTCGCTATCCCCTCGGGCATTCCCTACAATTTAGAATTTGCAACAGGCTAACCTTCCGCGAGAAAGAAACTAGACCTTTACTTTTACTAATCCTGTGTCTTTATTCTCGCTGGGCGGGTTGACTGAGTGACTGACTGATTGACTGACTGACTGATTGTTTGACTGAGTGATTGAATGATTGATTGGTTGAGTGACTGATTGACTGAGTGATTGATTGACAGACAGATTGATTGATTGATTGATTGACGGATTGATTGATTGATTGATTGACTGATTGACTGATTAATTGATTTTAGCAGGGTTGTACCTGTACTGGAAAGTGTGCGACCAATAATTGTTCGTGCAAGAAAGGCTCCTCATCTTGTTCTGAAGAATGTAGTTGTAAAGCGGTGAAGTGCGTCAACCGTCTGCCGGTAATGATTATTCCCCGTTATTCTCCAATTAGTAATTTTTAATTGTAAACTATCGTACATTCTCTATAACCATCCGACAAGCGTATTTCTTTTGCTCAGTTATCCCTTGCTCACTCTCCCTTTTCCTTCCCTCTTTCCTCTCTCCCTCTTCGTCTCTCTATCTTTCTCGTTTGTTGACTTATCTGCCTGCTTCTTTCCTCACAAATCATAGAAATACCCTATAATTACTATTTAACTCCGATCCATTTCCTCTTAGAAACCTCTTCAGGCCGTACCATCTCTGGCTACGATATCAGCAAGCGACTTTGAAAGCGGTGAGTAAAAGTGAAATATAGTGGAATCCCGATTTGTCGAACCCTCTTTTCTTCGAACTTCCCGATAACTCGAACCAAAAGTTGTTTCCCTCTCCTCAGTCAAACGCTGCAATTTTATCCCCGATTTCTCGAGCTATTCGATTTTTCGAACCAATTTTCGTTTCCCTTGGAGATTCGAAAGATCGGGATTCCACTGTAAGTGAAATGTTTGTTCTTTCTTTCTCGTATTTATCTGTAGGTAGATAGGTGGGTATGTAGGTGGGTCGGTAGGTAGGTAGGCAGGCAGGTTTACATATCCTGGTATCGTGCAATTCGTATGGTATGCCATATAGCTTACTGAAATAAATATTTTTTTCCCGTTCAGAACCTTCACCGCGCTCAAATGTGGGAGGTGATGAGCGGAAAGCGTTAATCGAGGTGAAAAACATACCCGTTAAAGAACTAAAGTCCGACAAGAAGAACATGCCATCGTCGATCAGGCAAAACGGAACAGAAAATAAGCTTGTCTCGCGTAAACGCCCTAAAGTCTTCAACAAACCACACTCGAGTAGCTCGGTTTCCTCTTCCGATGAAGACTTGGTCCTGTCGAACCAACGCGGATTCACTCGACCCGGGACTACTTCCGCTCGGTCTTTTCCCGTGCATGGAAGTTCGAAGACGCCTGGATTCAGCTTTGGTTCTGCTAAGAAGGTGATCGTAAAAAAGTCGATGACAAAGTTTCACCCGGAAAACAAGCGAAAACGAAAATTGCTGAAACCTGCCAACACTGCTTCAAGTTTGGGCGTTAAACCTTGATTCGCGACCCTGCAGGGGTAAACTGAGAGAGAACTGTCTAAAAATCATGAACTATTTTGAGTGAGCAAACAAGTCTCTTTGAGCGCTTGAGAAATCTTGGATTCGACCCGAAAAACTCCACATAGCTCTTTGCAGAGAGTTGCATAACATCTTTGTTTGGTTTGCAGTGGCGCGCAAGCTCGCGCAAAGAGAGATATAAGTGCTCTTAGATGATAAGAACCCAACCGAATACAATCCACTTATTATTGTAAGTGAACTGAATGCAACTGGCATTGCAAGTCACGGTTGAACGAAGGAGTATAAGAATTCGTAGTAAAGTGTAAAATAATGTCTGGTCACTAAGAAATATTTTCGTCATATTCACATTGATTAAATTGTATTCCCTAATTTCGAAGGCACTTTTGTTAATTGATAGTTTCCTAGATTTAGAGTCCTTAAATCTCAGTACTCTCTTTAGAGCTACAACAATTTTAAGTTATTTGTGAAGGTTAGCTGGAACTGTAAATAAGCGCGAAGACTTCGTGTAAAGATGTAATAATTTTAAACAGCAATATTCTCATGCTAGAACCCTTTTAGTTCTGAATTCATTATTAATAGTAATTCTCCTTACATAACGTCATACATTTTCTTTTAACGTTAGTTGTGAGAAGTTTTCGATAAATCTAGGCACTATTCCCTTGTTAACCAGATCCCCAGTTCAAAGCACAAAGTACGCGAAATTTTTGCGATTTCAATTATGATTTAGTGTTGACAAAAATGGCTTATTAACAGCCGTCATGTAACGCTTTTCCAAAACCTTAGAATTTACTTGTCGTGAAAATTTCGTGTTTTAAAGTAATGCAGGATCTGCTTTTAACTCTGACTGTTGTTACTACGATTATCAGTTGAGTAAGGCGCGAACGTGCTTTGAAGATAAAGTTTTAGAGATAAAATTACGGTGTTGCCACGGGACACTTTCCTCGTTTCCAATAATAACAATATCATCGCCTGCAATTTCGCGTGCTTTGCTGCCAATGACGTCAATGCCGACAAGTTGCCACTGGAAACGGAGCCGGTTGCCTGTGACAACAACACAAGTTGATCGTTAAAAGATGGTCACCAACTGATAATCGTAGTAAAACCACAAGAGAATTTAAGGGAATTCTCCACAGTGCGTTTTCCTGATAAATTATAAGCAGGTTTTTGCTGCTACGGACTTTTCGATTGTAAGCCTGCGTTCAAGCAAATAGCCGATTTCTTGCCATGAAAACATGTTTGTCTTAATTCTCATCACTTGTCAGCATAGCAATGTATTAAAATTATAAGGGGAAATGAGATATCGATCGCTCATTGGAATGAAAGGGTTTAGAAGTGGGGGATATAAATACAAGCTCTCATTTGAAAATAAAACACTAGTAAACTTTCAAAAAAATGCATCTTGTCTTTGTTTTATTTTTGCAACACAACCAATGAGGTTGAGCACGCTGGCAGAAGAGGTGAGTGTTGTCTGCCTGAGACGGTAACTCAAACCAAAGTCTTTCAATTTCGCTATCATGCGAAAATCGAATCCAAAATTGTTTTATACTCTCCTAATTCATTTCAGGCTAACTTTGCAGCGTTTTGTAGCTTTTTTCCTCAGTCGCGGAATGTGGCATTCATCCCCTCTCTGAATTAGGAGCTTACGCAAGCCTTTAAGGAAACAATGAATATTTAATAAACTGAGCAATAGCTTTACAGGAGTATTATAGTTGACCAGTTGGTACATTTCTTAGACGTCCTCTGCAAAAATAAAAACGCAAAATTACCGGGTCAAATACGCGCAATTCATATCCTCGATATTACACTGCGACTAGCTAGCAGTAGAGGCTTATGCGGGGGAATATCATTACACAGAGATAAATGCCATTTGCATTTGAAAAGACCCCCCGCATTACCCTGAGTTGCTGCAACCTTGGTCACAAGGGTTGGAACCCCTCCCCACCCCTGAGCAATGTTGACAAAACACTTTCATCTAACACAAGTTTGCATTTTACCATTTTCCAACATTGAATGGGGGAATGGGGTTGTTGACACTCATTCTGTAGGTATTACGATTATGATTTCATGATTTTGGCATTTTCCAACACAATTTATCCATGATTGTAGCTACTAGTTTCAGTCCAATACCGCCGGAGTATACGAAAATGGTCTATTCTGCTTACTTCAGTTCGAGAACGTGAACAACGACGCCTAATCTTTCGTATTTCCATTTGAAGTTGACCGCTCTCCTTACATATTGCAGCTATAATTGAAGTTCTCAAACCGATCACGGATGCACTGAATAGCCGACCTGCCCAACTCCGAGATCCTCAAGTAAACTGTAAGATCCCAAGTTACCTTGTCATCCTTGTACCTCAGTTTCAAAACGAGTCCTCATGCAAAACCTTTCATGTGAAAATGAGTTTGATTTGCATGAAAATGATCCTGTGGGCAGAACACATTTTCTACATATGACTCGTTTTGACACGGAGGCAAAAGGCAACTCGAAAATGGCCTATCAGTGCGGTTGCACGACCGCAATGAACGCGAGAACGAGGCAATCCGGTGTAGTACCCAGGCATTCCTTCGCCCACTCGGTTTAACGAGAATTTTCATAACGTTCACCAGTCACCGAATTATGCCGCTCTCCGAATTATTTCCCTTTAAGGGTCTTTAAGTGATATTCTGATTCTCGTACCGAAGTAAATCAAGAAGCAATCCACTAGAAAAGCTCGCACAAAAGCTTTCAAAAAAAAAAAAAAAAAAAAAAA